AACAAAAATGAATCATTAAAAAGAGGGGGACAGAGTTGTGATACAGCAGGTAAAGCCGCCCCCTTACAACATACGTATTGCTTAGGGACACTGGATTATGTCTGGCTGCTCTACTCCCAATCCAGCTCCTTGCTAATGGGTGGAAAACACAGCAGAGGATGGTCCCCTGCCACCCACATGGGAGACTCAGATGAAGTTCCTGGCTTCTGGCTTCAGCGTGGCCTAGCGCTGTATGTTGTGGCCATCCGGGGAGTGAACCAGCAGATGGAAGATTTCTGTCTCTCCCTGTCTCTCCCTCTCTCTCTGTAACTTTGACTTCAAAATAAATAAATATTTTAAAAATTAAAAATGAATGTGCATCTAATAATCACAGAAAACATAAACACAACAGAAATAATTCAATGGCACAACTCTGGTGCTGTAATAACTCATATCCATGTGACTTGCCAACCCCAAGCCCTGTCTGTCTCCCTGGAGATGCTGCCAGTCAGTCACCACACTGCCCTCCTCTCTCCTGCTACCAGGTTCAGGGACTTCATTAGTGCCTGTGACTTGGGACCCTGCTTCTCCATCCCAGGTCTGAGGAACATGGAAGCCTCAGACTGATGGGAAGCACAACCTAAGTGAGGCTCTACCCTACCCCAGGAACTGTACCCCCCACAACCCCTGGCGTGCATGTGTGTGCATGCCTTTCCCAAACTTCCTGTGCATTGCACACGACTTGGACATGAAATGGAGGACTCGAGTCAGTGGTTCCCAGTGTGCAGCAGCTTCCCAGGGCAGCAGCACCAGCCGCAAATGGGAACCTGTTAGAACAGCAAACCCGCAGGCCAACCCAGGATCTACTGAGTCAGGGGCTCTGGAGGTGGGTTCCAGCCACCTGTGATTTTTACAAACTCCGCGAGAGACTCTGACGCAGGCTGAAGACCTAAGTGGGTTCAGTCAGCTGCAGAGCCTCGAGTGATAGGCCACAGCCTTGCACCTGCAAGGGGCTCCGAAGGCCGCTTCACCGACACCTGTGAAGTGGGACTCACAACGGGACCAACTTTATCGTGCTTGCTGCAAAGATGAATGAGATCCTGCACAGAACACGCCTAACCAGTCGTAAGCATTCCGAAGTGCCTGCTAATATTAATCTCCTTAACAAGCCCAAGAGATAAGTTCTGTGTTATCATCATCCAACGACCTCAGTGAAGGCTCAAGTGGATTGCTCAAGGTTACTCAGCTGTCAAAGACTTCTCACCAGTCCACCTCCCCCAGGAAGAGGCACAGGTGTTAAATACAGGCGAGGTGTCAGTCCTGCTTCTACCCTCGGCCTTGCAGAAGTTCTCAGCCAGGACGATCTCCCTTCCCCATGGGCATCTAGAAATACACAGAAGCTTTTGTAGTTGACCCTGTGGTGCTCCTGGCTTGTAGGATCCAGAGGGTCCAGGATGCTCCCCCTGCATGTGCAAGATGGTTCTGTGTAATGAGGACTTACCCCACCCAAAATGCCAGGCACACCTCCTTGGAGAAACACTGCCCACCCCGGAGTTCCAGATCTGCTCAGGGCAGGACAGCACGTCTGAGGCTGCCTGGAGAATCCATCAGGTCACAGTCATTGCAGTTGAGAGCTACAAGTCTCATAGGATGTTCCCTATGTTGGGTGCTGTGAGGCCCAGCGTTCCTTCTAGACACTTGGCTGTCTCGCTTTAACATGCACCTGCCTACACCGTTCTAGCTCCCATCCCAGGCTGGATCTCCACTGCCACGGACCTCGGCAAACATTGCCAACACTGTACTACTTAGGAATTCCACACATTCTCCAGAAGCTGATGCAGGATGTGCATGTTGTATCAAAAGAGTAGGAGATAGAGTGTGGATCTGTCTAGAAAACACAGTGCCACTCATTACCTGTTACTCGCAGAGGGCACGGGAGAAGAGAGCTAGATTATCACTGCCGTTCAGAAAGTCAAGAGTCCTGGGAGTCAACAGTGCAAGGCATGGATTTCATCAGTACAATCCATAAAGATGTATTTCAAAGGACTCCTAGTACAGAAGTGCCCAGACAGGGAGCAGGAGCAGGGGGAGGGGAGGACGTAGCAGCAACACACACACACACACACACACACACATTGGTTTCCCAGAAGCATCGGTAGTCAGTGCTTCTGAGGGAGCCGGCCATTCCCCTGAACTTAACACCTCTTTTCCCATACAGAGACCCTTTCTCTCGAGACTCCTACCTAGGGCTTTCAGCAGTCCCCCCCTCCCCACAAGAGCAGCAACTGACGGTGCTGAACTATTCCTTGTCCCACAAACCATTAAGCTGCCATGCTGAGGTGGTGAACAAACCCAGAGAGAGCTGGTGCTGGAATGCTAATGGCGAAATTGCAATTATTCTTTCTGTGCTGGACAATTCCTGCTTCAACGTCCCTGGCCTCAGGTCGTATTTTTGTGATCTTTGGATGCTGATGGAAGAGACATGGCCTGATGGAGAAAATAACCGGGGAGATCATGTCTTGATGGAGACAGAGGGAACTAGTCGAGGTTCTTTTGTTGTTTTCTTTTGACAACCACGCAGCTGTCCTATAATGGCTGCTGGTTATAAAGACCCCTATCCAAAGGAAAAACAACCTCGCCATAAATACCTCGCCCACCTCAGTGAAATCGCTGTGTTACACACTTGAGTACCATTTTCGAGGACACTTTAAATAGAGCCTCGGTCGCTGCTTTCAATTTAACGTGTGAACGGGAGCCGCTAAGGCAGGCAGAGAGGATAACACGCTAGGGTAGGCTCACAGTTTCCATCTGCTCGGATTTTAACAGAGCCACGGGCACTTAAGGCTTCTTGGGGACAAGCCTCAAGGTTGCAAGACTCACTCGACCAAGGAATGAGCACCTACTATGCAAACACAAAGCTAGGTTACTCGCACTTGCCCCTGATGGGGCAGGCTTTGCATACAGGTTACAATAGTTCAAGGGAAAATGCGTAAGTGGTACAAGACAGGGAAAAATACTTCCAAGTTCAGACCAGAGCTCGGTGACTTCTGTTTTCTCTTGTGTAGAAGTCCTTGATGAGTTTTATGAAGACTGATGAGTTCTAAAATGGGAGAGATGCAAGAACAATGCCTGAAACTACATCAGTAGCACTCACGGTTGGCAGCAGTACCGAAGGAAGCAGGATTAACACTGCTGACATTAAGCTTCTATTGGTCATTTAAATTATAAAACTAGTTCGAGGCAAAAACAGGATCATCAGATGAAGCTTGGAAAATAATGGGCAACTTTTGCACACGTGGAGAGGAAGGGGCGGGGGAACAGTGCCTACCAAGGTATACAAGATGACTGAGGACTTGCATGGGAAATAACCAGTGATACAAGGTGTCTTCTGCGTCCCTATTATGATATGTCTGGATGGAGCTTTCTTTGTTATTTATCCTATTTTTTTAAATTTACCTTCCTAGGCATATTTGAGTTGGTGTGTTGATATTTTTCCTTAGTTCTAGAAAATTCATGGCCGATGAAATTTCTTTCTCCTCCTCTCTTGATAAAAATTCAACAGGCGGCCAGCACCGCGGCTCACTAGGCTAATCCTCCGCCTACAGTGCCAGCACACGGGGTTCTAGTCCCAGTTGGGGCGCCAGATTCTGTCCCAGTTGCCCCTCTTCCAGGCCAGCTCTCTGCTGTGGCCCGGGAGTGCAGTGGAGGATGGCCCAAGTCCTTGGGCCCTGCATCCACATGGGAGACCAGGAGAAGCACCTGGCTCTTGGCTTTGGATCAGCACGATGCGCCGCCTGCAGCGTGCCAACCGTGGCAGCCATTGGAGGGTGAACCAATGGCAAAGGAAGACCTTTCTCTCTGTCTCTCTCTCTCACTGTCCACTCTGCCTGTCAAAAAAAAAAAATCCAACAGGTACGATCACCATACCACATCCTCTATATCCCTCATCCCCCTTTTCTGTACCCACTGTCTTCCATTCTGGATGATTTCTTTGCCTGGTTCCCCCTTCATTGATTATCTCTCTACTTGCTTCTTCTAAGTTATTTTAGAATCCACCCATTCAATTTTTAACTTCAGTTGCTGTATTTCTCTGTCCTACCATTTCTTTTTCACTCCAGTTTAAATCTACTGTGTCGTTTTTGTAGTTCCTGGTTTGCCACCCTGTTTTGTAACCGTGTCTCATTGCTACCTGAGAATGGTAGACATGGTTATTTTAGAGCCAGAGCCTGATCACTGTAGTTCCCAGGAAACCTGCAGGTCTCTCATTTCTGCCAGCTCTTGTTCATGTTCACTTATTCCTGTGTGTGCCACTTATCTTTGAAAGTATGCTGGACACTGTCTTCAAACACAAGTCTGCAGAAGTTATTTGATGACTACAGTAATGTAGCTTCCTCAATCTAGTATTCTGCTTATATCTATCAGGCAGCTGACTTTGCAGAACAATACAGCATTAATCCCATTTTAGAAACTCGTGTTTTTTTCAACTCTGCCAATGATTTGAAGCCTAGCTTCAAGATGTGTGAGGGCCATTTTACTTACAGCCCTGAGCCAAAAGTGTCCTATGCTTTATCACCCCTGAACTGCAGCTCTGGTCTCCTAGCCCCCTAATGCTGTCAGATGCAATGATGTAGAAGACAGAAGTCTCATCCCTATGTACTTGCCTCTGGGTTTCCATTTTCTTTCAAAATTTGGCCCTAAAACATTCACCACCTTGCTAACTTAGAAGTATCTTCAAGCACACATTTGAAAATATTTTTGCCATTTTCTTAGTTTTTCCTCAGTAGGAAGATCAATCTGAGTTATCCAGCCTGCCACCATCATAGCAGAAGTCTCACTAGTGCATAATTGAACTGGAACATTGTTCTTATGTTAGAAAGGAAAGAAAAATGGGCCAGTGCTGTGGCATAATAGGCTCAGCCTCCTCCAGTGGCACTGGCATCCCACATGAGTGCCTGTTCGTGTCCTAGCTGTTCCTCTTATGGAACTGACCAACGCCATGGGGCCCTCCCGTGAGTAAAGGTAGAAACCTGTGGGTTCTTGTTGTGGGACAGTTCCCGAAGGAACACAGAGTTGGGATTCCAGACTTCAAATACGTGGCAAATACGGACGAGACGGTTGAGCGGGAACTGCTGCTCCATCTGATTGACTATCTCGTAACCAACCACGGGAAAGACCCTGAAATCACAAACCTCATCAACAGCGCCCGGATACACATCATGCCTTCCATGAACCCAGATGGATTCGAAGTCGTCAAAAATCTCGACTGTTTTTACAGCAATGGAAAGGAAAACTTTAACCAGTATGACCTGAATCGAAACTTCCCCGATGCTTTTGAATATAATAACATGTCGAGGCACCCTGAAACTGCAGCCGTCATGAAGTGGCTGAAGACCAAGACATTCGTCCTCTCTGCAAACCTCCATGGCGGTGCCCTGGTGGCCAGTTACCCATTTGATAATGGCGTTCCAGCAAGTGGGGCATTGCTTTCCCGAAGTGTAACTCCTGCTGATGATGTTTTTCAATATCTTGCAAATATCTATGCATCAAGAAACCCCAACATGAAGAAAGGAGGTCAGTGTGAGAACAAACTGAACTTTCCTAACGGAGTTACCAATGGATACTCCTGGTATCCACCGCACAGCGGAATGCAAGACTACAACTACATCTGGGCCCAGTGCTTTGAAATTACGCTGGAGCTGTCATGCTGCAAATACCCTCCTGAAGAGGAGCTGCCATCCTTCTGGAATTATAACAAAGCCTCATTGGTCGAATATATGAAACAGGTGCACTTAGGTGTAAAGGGTCAAGTTTTTGATATCGATGGAAATTCATTACCTAATGTAATTGTGGAAGTCCAAGACCGAAAACATATCTGCCCATACAGAACCAACAAATTTGGAGAATATTATCTATTTCTCTTGCCTGGGTCCTATACAATAAATATTACAGTCCCTGGGCATGATCCATACCTCACAAAGGTGGTTATTCCAGAGAAATCCCAGAACTTCAGTGCGCTTAAAAAGGATTTTCAACTTTCATTCCAAGGGCAACTGGATTCTACCCAAGTATCAGATCCTTCATGCCCACTGATTCCTCTCTACAAAAATTTTCCAAGCCACTCAGGGGCAACAAAGCCTAGTTTGTTCCGGGACTAGAACCCATGATTTTTTTGACATGCAGAGTGTGACAGGCAGAGTGGACAGTGAGAGAGAGAGAGACAGAGAGAAAGGTCTTCCTTTGCCATTGGTTCACCCTCCAATGGCCGCCACGGCCAGCGCACCGCGTTGATCCAAAGTCAGGAGCCAGGTGCTTCTCCTGGTCTCCCATGGGTGCAGGGCCCAAGCACTTGGGCCATCCTCCACTGCACTCCCAGGCCACAGCAGAGAGCTGGCCTGGAAGAGGGGCAACCGGACAGAATCCGGCGTCTTGACCGGTACTAGAACCCGGTGGTCCTATTTTTAATGACACTACTTTTGCACATATTTTTCAAATAAAGTAAAATGTGAAACTCAAAAAAAAATTCCAAAATATGCATCAACTTGAATTCTGGACTAAAGAGGAAAGAAACTCAATAATCCAAAGGGAGCCAATGGAGGTTCTTGAGGAGCCATAACCTGAGAGCTGTGTTAGGGACAATAAATTGGGCACTCAGGTGCCAAACAGATGAGAGGGGAGTGAGACCAAAACCAGGAAGCAGAGTCCACAGGTGGCTCAGTGTTCAGAGGAGAGGTAAACACATCCGTCAGGGTCATGGCACTGAGACTAGGAAGCCGGGACGGATGGGCGCTCCAGGGTTCTATGTGAGTGAGGTGTGCCAACCAGATGATGGAGGCCAGAAGCAGAATGTGGGGAGGAAGTCAGGAGGAAGGTAGGATGATATGATTTGCCAATTGACTTTAGGTGGATTTGAAAGAAAAGTCAAAACTGAGTTCTGGGACATGGGGAGCTCAGAGACAGGAGAAAGAGATGCTGTGGTTGGAGCCATAACTCACTCATCCTCCTTCTAAGTCATGGACACAGCTCCAAGAAAAGACCTCAGTGTGAAATGAGTGACAGTGGCCACTCTGCAGCCCAGGGAACTCCCAGGGGAGAGCTGACTTCACGCGAGAACAAAGAATCTGCCCCTGGGATGCATCCAGAGACAGTGTTGGTGTTGTCAGGCAGCGGAGCAACCTCCTGGGGAAAAGGAGGCCACCCCGTTTTGTGTTATTAGAGGTGTTCTAAGTGAAGCTGGCTAACGGCACAACTTGTGTGGGGCAAGAAGAAAGCTCCCAGGGCCCCTTGCTAGTAACCAGAGACCCTGGGGCACAAGAACACAAGCCAAGAGGGGCCAGGGAAAACAGACGGTGCACAGAAATAGACCAGTATACAGAGGGGGAGAAGCGCACACCCCACCGCTGAGGGACAGGTGGCCCGTGGGGGCTCCTACGACTGTCATTATGGGTTCCGCTGCGGAACAAAAAGGTGTCCACTTCCCAGGCTCCTAGGTAGACAGCGAATTCAATGGAAATGCAAACCTTTAAACTGTAATCACACTTTTCTTGGCCTACGCAGCTGCCAGAGACTCCAGATAGTCTTCCCATCCTGCCTTCCATTTATATAAATGAGTGTCAAAGGCAGCTACCCATGAGGAAATAACCTCTGCTTCCACGGTGGGGATCTGGGACAGGAACTAAAATAAAAGTAAAATGTTACTTGAGGAAGGGCTATATAATTTCATAAATAAATTACTGAGGTTGACATCGATCTGAACTACACTGGTGCTCAGGGAAGCGCTCCCACCACACCCGGCAAAGCTCAGCGCACAGCCTGCCTGCTTGCTTTTGCCTGTTTTATTAATTGTCTGCACAAGATCAATAAGACTTGCAAAGGGCCAATGGACGTGCTTCCCTCTGCTTATCCTACGCCAGGATTCTTCAGACCTGGAACTCAAGACAATGAAGGCGTCTGCCCCCATAGCCTCTGGCCTCACATTGTCTGTCCCCAAAAGTTCCCACTAATGCTCTCAAAAGGACTAGCCCCACTACAGTCACTTCAAATGCTTCTGTGGGCAGCCTTAATTTAACCCTGCCAAAGTCAGAAGGCAGGGATGGGCAGAGGGTCGGGAAAGCTATGCATGCAGAGTGAGCCCTGAGTAAAAATGCCCCAAAGAGGGACTGCCCGCTCCCCATGCCAGGCCTGTGTGTGCCAGTTCACCACGAATTCACCCCCAGTATATGGCATGATGTCTGCCTTCCAGAGACCCCCCAATAGACGCTCACTGAAAGGAGGACTGGGGGAACTGGGGTACGGGAACAAGCCAGGCAGTGCCCCACTCTGCAGACAATTCTCAAACATCCTCTCCCCTGCCCCAGGTGCTCCTCTCTTATTGCGAAGCCCCAGGAGGAGCCTCCCTGCGAATGTGCTCTGGCTTTTTCCCCTCAAAGCCTCTTTTCTACAAAAAAGAATCAGAATAGAAGCTACTGAGAAAGGAAAGGCTCCAAGACTTTCCTCTGTTGTTTGCAAGAAGGGGAGAAAGGTGCAGATCGGGATACGTTAGGATTAAGGTGTTAAGACATGCAAGAGGGTGGAGGGGCTGAGAAAAGCCAGAGCTGCTGGGAGAGGGATGGGCTCAGCTGATTGGCTGACACAGTCCACCAGCGGGTACCTGTGTGTCTGGCTCCAGCAGGAGGTGGCTGAGTGCATTTCTGATGACTGAGAGGTGATGGCCACGCATATTCACAACAAACAAGAGGCTCACCAGTCACCAGCCAACCCTGCAAACAGAAGAGCACTCTGGCTACCCCAGCTAACACCAGCTAGTCCAGGAGGGGAGAGTCTGGTTTTAACAGCTATCCTGGAAGGGAGGGTGCTCCAAAGGGTGCCTGGCTGAGTCAGACCCATGACTGACATCCCTCTGTGATGGTCTGACCACCATGCAAGGAGCTGGGGCCCCTTCCCCCAGCAGCGGCTTCAGGAATGAAACCTCACCTATGCCCAAAGACCATCCTCACCATGAATGCAACTGCAGCATCACAAAGAGGGGATCATTGTTAGAGATCTCCCTAAGTAGTCTCAGCCTCTCCACTCTCCAGGCCCTGAAAAAGCCTGCGTACATCATTCATTCATTCATTCATTCATATTCATTTTCTCTCCCCCCCCCCCACCTGCCTAGCCCTGACAGGAAGCTTGCACTTACAGCCCATGAAGGAAGCAGTGAAGTTCCTTGATTCGTTCAAGGCTCACTTCCAGCCCAAGCTGGACTACACTGGTGGGTTCACCTGGGACCCTTCAGGAATCTCTTTCCAGCTCTCCAGGCCACTGGCCCTAATGCCAGGCTTCTGTGTGAACAATGAGCGGGGCAGGCAGCCATTCTGCTTCTCCTAGAAGCTTCCGTGACGCAAGTTTTGCTCGGAAAGCACAGCCACAGAGTAGCAGCCTCCTCAACACCATGGCCAAGGGTGCAAAAGCACATCCCAGCCACCTGCATCTTCTCTCCGCAGCAGACACCCTGTGCTCTAAAGAAGGGACGAGAACTAACCATCTGCATCTGCTCACCTCCTGCATCAACAGGGAGCTGCGTGGCCCCCTCCTCAGTGGGGCTGTGGCCTTCTCTGTGGAGGACATTCACTCACTCTCATCAGAAACTGGACCTCGATACCTCGGTCAGTATTTCTCCAAGCACAGTTGCTGTCCACAGGAATCAGAACCTCTGAGGGGCAGGGGACCAGGAAGCTACAACTTCAATTGCTCTTTGGGTAATTCTTATGCTATAAGCAGGGCCCCCGAGGTCAAGAACCAACCCAGAGACCCAGGCCAGGGAGGCAGAAGACAGCAGCGAGCGAGGCGAGAGGGACGCGATGCCTTGCACGCGGGCTGGAGCCCACCAGCTAGCAGCGCTGGTGGCCTCCGGTCGTCGCCACGTGGGGAGCAGAGACTCTGTTCTCAGAGAGCACTGTGTGTGTTTCTGCAGAAGTGCATGCTACACATTTTCAGTGGAATTCCTTGAGCTACAAATGTCGGCCCTGGCAAAGCATTCCTCTGGCCTAAGCGAGACACACTAAACACAAAGACCCTCTCTCCCTTCCTCAGGTCAGTATCAGCAATCCCAGATGCAAAGGGAGCCCAGGGGCCTCCCAGCCTGCTGGACGGTAGCCCTCAGGTTCCTCCCTCTCCCCTTCCCACTGCCAGGCCAGTTCCCACCGCGAGGGAACTTCCCTCCGGATTCCAAATCTTCACTGCTAGGAAGGGGGAGGCCTCGCTGACCTTGCCAAAGCCCTGAAGGACCAGGAATCACACCTGAGGCTCCTCAGCCCTTCCCTTGAGTTCCTAAACCTCAGAGGAGGAACAGAGCCGACAGTTCTAGACTACGATCACCACAACATGCAGAAAAGGAGAAAAGAGCTCCCTGTGTGTCCAGGGCATGCAGGAAGTCCTCCAGGATCGTTCTCCTGGGATCAGCAGGGAGCATCAGCTCCAGCCTTAGCAGGGACCACCAGGCTCATGCCCCAAGTCTGACGCTTTTCCACCCAAACAGAAAAATGAAGAGGAGGCGAGAAAGGGGCAAGGAAGAACACCAGCCACTCGTTCTTTCCTTCGTCTTCCCCGCACACCTGCCCAGGGAGAATCCTTACAAAGAGGTCTAAAGGGAAGAAAGATGCAGGGGACAGTGAGAGGAAGCCGCCCAGACATGGGTTTACTTACTCTGCCAGCCCCCTCCGCCAGTCCTGCCCAGCTCAGCACACACGCCGATGGGCTGCAGGGACTGAGCAGGGGCAAGGCCAATGCACAGGTCAGACCACCCAGGTCGAAAGGAAGCAGGATTCTGGTGAAAGCTGTTTGTGAGCACATCTCCGGCATGTGGCAGCCACGTGGCCACATGATAAAGACCACTGACAGCCCACACCCAGACACCCATTTAGTTCCAGGATGAGAAGGGGACAGAAGCAGGTGATCCCTTGAGTACTAACCTTTAATGATATCCTACAGAGAAGGGTGGAAAGAAACACAGCACTAGTAGAAAAGACCAGGACAAATTCCCCGCTAGTGAACAGTGTTGCCTTGGGCTTCCAATACTGACCAGTCATCAGCTCCACTTGGAACCCCCTTGGAGAAGATCCTCCATCCCCACCCCTGACCCCCAACACCCTTAGAGCTTCTGACTCAACAAACTGGG